ACCCCACCCCCCACCCATACCCCACACCCCACACCCCACACCCATACCCCACACCCACACCCACATCCCGTACAAGATTAAGCGGTGTAGATTTGGATGTATAGAAGAGATCGTGCGGATTTAGACGTATAAAAAGGATGTAGAAAAATAACTTATGTAACTGAAATATGTTTTTTTTTAGATTTAGCTGTACTTTTAGTTTCTCTGAGAAATTGCGTGCTATTTTGTTATCATCGTTTCCCAGAGAAATCATAAAGCTGATTATACGTCCTTTATCACTAAACCGTTAGATTTATATGCTCATGGCTGCATTTGGATGAATGGTCATTAGAAAGGTGTGATATATAGAAAGCGGGTAAGGGGCGTCATGGCTTGTGTATGTCATCTTTCCTCGTATCATTGTTGTGACGTTATCATGTATTTTTCGTCTACATCTTCTTGTGTTCTGTTGTCATGTGTGAAAGCATATGTTCGCCTTTCTAGGATGATCATCCACATTCGTTCCCTTAGTCTTTCTGCAAAAGTCATGAATGTTCTCTCTGGTACTTGTCAGGGAGTTCTTGGTTCTTTACCAGATTCTGGATATTTCCTTTTGTTTCTGTGCTCATATATATTTATATACCACTCGCCTGCAATAATAAACGTGTTATATACATACGCAATAAAACTACATTTGTCTTTGAGCAGAACTGGTTAATGGTCGACAGCCTGTCTTAAGCTTAGTGACATCTTGTTTTTGATTTTTGTGAACGATCTTATTGCAATCTCCTTTGCGCGGATTGTGCACTGTTGAAGTTAATAGATTACAATTCTAATTTATGAATCATAATCCATCAAAGTCTTACTGAATTATGAAACTTCTGGACATGTTCTCTGGAACTACATATAGGTTTGACTGCATTACGAAACATTTAAGCATTATTTCTAATAATGTATGAAAATACAGTAACATACGTTGAAAGTTTACTGAATTGTGGAACATTGATGAGCTATTTATGAAAATGCATTGAAATTCATTGAAAATTTACTAAATTTTCAAACATTTCAACATTATTTCTCATAATGCATGATAATGCATTTATTTTCAATTCATTATTCGGCATTAGAACATTATTTTCGGAAAATGCATTGAAATGCATTGATCTCCAATGCATTATTGGTCATTAAAACATTATTTCTGGATAATGCATTGAAATGCATTGAAACTGTATTAAATTTTGAAGCATTTCAACGTCATTTCCGATAATGCATTGAAATGCATTGAAAATTCAAAAATTAATGCATTACAATTAATTACTTGATAAGTTTTAGAAAATAATGGAAAATAATGGATCGTTTTTCCATTATTTATCCATTATTGGCTACATGGGTATGTAGTACAATTGATGGTCCATTAACATGGAAATCTTTTCATCAATTATTATATGTACAAAATCAACATGCACATCTTGAAGAACAAATAAGTGGACCACAACCAATACCATATATTCTTGCTGGTCTTGATCGTGAATGGATTATGTTAGCACCATATGGTCTAAAATTTTGGGATAAATTATGTCTTGAACCATATTCAAAACGAAAAGATATTGGTTATATATGTATTGTACCTGATAATGATTATATATGTACAATGACAAAAATTTATTTTCGTGAATTATCAACACATTATGAATTATGTCGATTAGGTTCACATAGACCTTTATTAAAAGCATTTTCAGATCAAGGACTTTTACGTATATCATCACAACAATATAATGATTCATCACAACTTCCAAATATTGATTC